TACCATATTGAATCATGCAGGTGAATGCTCAGTCCCATGGATTATCACGTTACCACCCCTTAGTCCCATCCACACTCCAGGTAGATTTGCGTTTCATGAGAGCTTCGGTGAAAGGAATGCGCCCAGGCTGTCATGATGGCACTCAACTTTACTTCCCTCAGCAAAGCAAAGTGACAATTTCAAAGAGGTCACCTGCATCCAGAGTGGTCGCACTAGACCCAGCGTCCACGACAGCTCCGTCTGCAGCCTACGGAGTTGGCTGTGTCTTCATCCAAAGGGAGAAGAGGCTGTAGCCTACAACCACTCAACCTATATATCCATGGGCCTACACCTCTACCCAGTCCCTACACACAAGCAGTGGATACTTTCAAATGGTAAAGGAGAGGGGCATCTGGCCCACAGTGCAGCCATAGGCTCAATTACACAGCAAACACAAATCACAACAAGGCATAGCCACAAAGCAAGCAAACAGATTGGCTTCCTGGGTATTTTCTTCTTGATCTGGGACCAATTATAGTGTTACATTAGGATTGTCATGCCACTTTCCGTGCCTGATAAAAACGTCCTCCATGCTGGACTGGGGCCACCCAAGCACCCAGTGACCTGCAATGTGAATAAATGCCTGAAACCAAGACCAATGAGCAAGCGGGAGTGGGGGGTGGGAGGGGTCCCTATTGGTTCTACAGTTGACCTTGACCTTTTCTCTGGTAGAGCAAGCCCACTGCTGAAGCAAATCAAGTATGTGTGCCTGGCTGGTCACAATCCCCTCCTGGTGGTCCGAAGTCCTCCGCCCTTCCTTGAAGCTGTCTGGGCTGGAAGACTACCCCTCCCTTCCCCTGCTCAGCTGAGCAATCACAACACCCCTTGGTATAGCCGCAGGCAATACGGCACCCACCCCCTCCTGCGTTTGTGGTCGCCTCCTTTGTGACTGCCACAGCACATGTTTTATTAAAAGGGAAAGGAGAGGGAAGACAAGAGGTTATGTACATGGGCATGCTCAAGAATCTTAAGATGGAGATTTTCCTGCTCCATGCTAAGAGCCTAAGGGCTTGGCAACTCGCCAGCTCAAAGTAAACCCCCAAAGGACAGCTGTGTGGGGGAGCCGGGAACGGAGGGAAACCAAGGCTCTTCCTTTGGAGATGGGTCTGATTCCCAAACATAAAGATGCCCTCATACACTCCTGGCATTTGCCTCCTTGCTCCGAATAACCTCTGCTGAATGTCCTGATATGACGTTGACAACCCTCAGACCAGAGGAAGCATTTTTCTCAGACTCTATGGATCGGAGTGCAGGGTGGGGATCTTCAGGCAATCCCAGATAATTTTCAGTGCCTCATGAGATGATCAGCATTGCAGAGCCTGCAGCCGGGGTCGTAGGGCAACTTCTTCTAGGCCAGTGGTTCTCAACCAAATGCCGTGACCCTTTAATACAAATCCTCATGTTGCGGTGACCCCCCAACCCTGAAATTATTTCCGTTGCTACTTCATAACTGTAAGTTTGCTACTGTTATGAATCAGGTAACCCCTGTGAAAGGGTCATTTGACCCCCAAAGGGGTCGCAATCCACAAGTTCAGAGCCGCTGCTCTAGGGCAATATGTGTTTAAAAGAATTAAACCAGTGAAGACCTGGTGTGGGCTACCTTAAAGATGACAGCTAAGATGGGGAGGGAGGGGGAAAAATGAGGAGCTGACACCAAGGGCTCAAGTGGAAAGTGGGTGTTGTGAGAATGATGAAGTCAACATATGTAATAATGTGCTGGACACAAATGACGTATGTACAGATTGTGATGAGTTGTGTGAGCCCCTAATAAAATGATTATTAAAAAAAAAAAAAAGATTGCAGCTAAGAAACCCCCCTGAGGAGAGCAGCTCTACACTGTCTCCTGTGGTGTAGTCTGTGGAAATGGACTAACAACAGCAACAACCTGGTATTTCCAGGATCCAAGGGGAAAAACAGACCAGAAGCCCCAAGGCACTGTCCCAGCCTTGGAGTTCCCAGCCTTCTCTCCTGAGCTGCAGTTCCCATGAACCTTCTGAGAGCCTTTCTCCCTTTCTTCCTAACCAAGCAAATCCCACTTCTTCTCTGAAGGCTCCATTCAACAAGCCCCCTCCTTTGCATACAGATAGCTCTCATTATCTGTACAAATCAATGGCAGATTAATTAGGTCAGCCTGGTGATTTCTCTTGTATTGAATGGCTATTGAGAACTTACATTGCCATTTCCCTTTTCAGAGACATCAGCCTCATGTTCCTAATGAGAGTGTAAGATCATTGAGGGCAAAGGAAGAGTCTCCTAAGGCCTTTACCCCCCACAGGTCTTAGTGAGTGCCAGCGGGCAAGCTCTGTATCCAGGCAGCCTCCCATCCCACGAAGGTGCAAAACAACTAAGGCCAATCACAATCGAAAACATCGCATCATTCCTGAAGAGCATCTGTGGGGTCTGAGGTAGGTTTAGGAGTGACTTGAATGAGACTTCACCAACTAGCGTTTCCCCTTCGTGCTGTTTGACCCCGGGTAAATCAGTTCATCTTTCTGAGGTTCTCGGACCTCCTTTAGGCACGAAGAAACTGATATGATTCCAGCTCTGCTTCTTAGGGTAATCAAAGATAAATGAGACAATAAACCATGTGAGGATTAATTAGATGAACCCCATAAAACGCTTCCAGCCTATTGGAAAAGGATGCCATGATGAAATGCATACAAGGTCTTATTATTTAAAAAACAGAGTTGAATCACCAAACCTGCACAGAACGGTGGGGAAAACAAAACACCACCCAGGAACCCTCCACACCAAGCATCCCAGTCAGCAGAGAGTGCCCACGCAGATGTCTCTAGTCCCTGCAGACTGCCTCTTGTTTGTGAGCTGAGAAGGGATTTGGGAGCATGGTCTCAGAGGGGACCTTTATATGATGTTCCCCAGTGGCCAGACTGTTCCTTGGGAAAGGGGATTAGAAGGCGTTGATGACGCAGGCATGTTCTTTGCCCTCTGGCCCTTGCTCAGTAAACAACCTGTTTGTTAGGGGTTCTAAGTGGCAGCTAGAAGGTGATCTGGGAGAGGAGGCTCCCATCCTGGAGATGGGTCCCATGCTAACACACTGGAGCCTTTCTCCCTCTCCAGCCCTTTGCTCCTCTCCTCATTTCTTCTGCCCACCCGACAGCCCAGATCACTCCATTCTGAGATGCGGAGCCAGTCCCATTTTTGGTGTGGAGAGGGAAACACGCAGCAAGGGTCTCTGGTCTTCTCCATGGTAGCCACCCAGCTGTCAGACCCTTGGAAGCCAGCTGCCTCCAGCAGGAAGACCATGGCTTGTCATTTGCTCCCAGTTCCCCAAACACCTCCCAGGAGCCATGCTCTGCACCTTCTCAAATTGTGCATCTTCTAAAAGAGGCAAGGCATGTCTCTAGCCCCAGGGGAGGCAGCAGCTAGGCTATTGATGCGATTTCAGCATCATGATGGCAGGCAGCACTGCTTGGTCATACCCTGGATGCTGCAAAGCAACTTATTTGGGGTGAGAAGGAACTCCACAAGAGTCCTGCCTCCAACAAACATCAGGCACACAAGCGTGTGAAGCCAAGAGGGAAAACACACAAACTCCAGCAGCACTGTATGGTTACCTGACGTCATCAGCACCCCCACCCCCACCACCCCCGCCCTGCTCCCACCTAGAGGAGTATGTAAAATACTTTAACTGCTTGGTTAATATTGAGATAGGATGAGTTCAATATAACGCAGTCAGAGAGAGTGTCACTTTAACATGCACGGATCTGGAGAAGGATAGAGACACTTGATGTACAAGATACCTTTCTCTTCCTGATTGGTCTATGCTGACATAGTATCTCCCTGCTGGATAAGGCCCAGTTCACCCAGCGATAAGCATGGCCTTTTATAATTGCTATCCTTTCATCAAAACATCTTTCTTTCTTTCTTTCTTTCTTTCTTTCTTTCTTTCTTTCTTTTTTAATTTTCTGCTCAGGGTTCTCAGGGCTAGGAAAAACACACACAGTTTCTTAAAGAGGGGTCTGTTCAGGCCTGATACAGTGCATTAGCTTCATTATTAGTTCATATTTGGCTTAGGTCTATGTACCCTGGATAAATGTGTGCAGTACAGGGGGGGTGGGGGTGGGCTACTTGGAGAGGAGAACACTCCTCTGGGCTGGAACAGCAGCCCACAAGTTCACGTTCCTAGTGAAAGGGACACTCCGGGCTTCTGTGGGCTGGGCAGGGTTTCCCAAATGCATGGCTCTTCCATGAGCAGCCTGCTCCCTGCTTGCAGCTGTGAGGGAGCGCGTGCCCGCGTACACACACACACACACACACACACACAGGCCATAGGCAGCATTCACCCACAGCACACGCCTACCCCCTTCAGCAGTGTTCTCCCCTTGGTATCTCTGGGGCTCTGCCAGGCTCAGCTCAATCAATGTGGCTTCTGCCACCACCCAGGGGAGCCGATTTGCTACTAAGGGGCTCACTCTTCAGAATGTTTCCTGGCTGCATGGGCATAGGGGACGGAAACATTCCGAGGGGGGCTCTACAAACATGATTCCAGAGGTAGCACGGATCCTGGCCTGGGCTCCTGCTCGCGGGATGGAGTGAACCGGGTAGACGGTTCAGTCCAGCATGGGCTCGGCGGGCAAAAGCGCTAGTCATCTTCTGCAATTATGCAGTCCAATTGGATTTTCTGGTGCTAATGGGAGTTGCACTAACTTTGAGGACTTAAAACCAGGCAATGGCAATGTAGGTCAGGCAGCGTGCTCAAGCCCTGTACAGCCATGCAACACCAGGACGCAATGCCAACCCCCCAAAGTCCTCGGCTCAGCTCCTGGCCACAGAAAGGAACGAAGCAAGGCAGAATGAGCCCCTTTGCCTGCAACTGCCAGGCACTCGGGCTAGAGGGTCGGCCGAGGGCAAGCTAACCCCACTCCTTGGGCACACACAGGAAGGTCGGGGGTGGGGGTGGGGGGGAACAGGGGGCCGTCCCCGGAGCCCTGCCCTGTTACCTTGAATCCTTGCAAGAGCCCTCCTGGCTATATCAGCTGCTCCCCACACCTTCAAAGACTGGGAGGAGGCTCCTCGGAGATCCCCGTTTTCGGTGCAACATCTCCGGTGGCAGCTTTCCAAAGTTTTCACTTCATGGTTTCTCGTGGCTCTTCCTCCTCCGGGGGGCAGGCGGGTGCCACCCCTGCCCCGGGTGACAGTGGACGGCGGGGGCTCTCTGGGTCAAGGCGCTCGCTCCTCTGGCAGCCGCCGTGGTCCGCC